AGGCGTGGAAGGGTTAAACCCAGATCTTCCTCCCAGCCTGGTGCTTACCTTCCTCATCCCCACAGGGACACTGAGACGCTGATTGGGCTTCCACGGCCCATCCATGAGAGTGTGAAGACCCTGAAGCAGGTGAGCTGGTGGCTCCGTGCCCAGCATGGGGGTGAAGCAGCTCAGGAGGCCTCGCTGTGGTCTCACCTCAGCCAGCTGGGGTGTGCCACACTCTGCTTGGAAGGTGACAGGCTTCCAGAGCTGGGTGAGGACAGCCATGCCCAGCCCTGTGCTGCTCCCAGGGGACAGCCTGCTCAGCCCTGGCTCCTTCTCTGCACTGGCTGGTTTGTTCTTCAAGAAGGATCAGTGATGTGCATGCAGGTGACTCGTGGTGGGCTGTAGAAGCCACCCAGCCTTGGTCACCTCCAGGCCCTATCCATGCAGAGGTGACCCATGGGGAGCTGTAGACAGCTCAGTCCCAAGGTGTCCATAAGTCACAGAGCAAACAGGGCAGTGCTGGAGAGGAGAAGGCTCTGAGGAGACCTTCTTGTGACCCTCTAGTATCTAAAGGGGATCTACTAGAAAGCTGGGGAGGGACTTTTACAAGGGCTTGTAGTGATAGGACAAGAGGTGATGGCTCCAAACTGGAAGAGGGGAGGTAGTGGGAAGAAGTTCTTCACTAGGAGGGTGGTGAGACATGCTGTGAGTTTGCAACTGTGGGTGATTAATGTGTCATATTTAGCATGTCTAGAAGGAGTAGGTGGCAGTAATCCAAGGCATGATGTGTGAAGGGCCTCAGGGACAGAGGATGTCCTACACCAGCATGAGTTCTCCATGTATCTGCTGTGACCTACACACCTCACTCAGCTCTGACTGAAGTCAGGGACTGTTGGCACCACTGGCTGTGTTTCCTCCTTCAGCTCTGACCTTTCTCCACCTCTCTCTGTGTTTTCCCAGCACAAGTTCTGACCTTGCTCCACCTCTCTCTGTGTTTTCCCAGCACAAGTACGTTTCCATCTCTGACATCCAGATCAAGAACGAGGAGGAGCTGGAGAAGTGCCCCATGTCTCTGGTAAGAACCTGCTGCCCTCCATCCCTCAGAGACGTGTGGAAGATTTCCACGGGGTCACAGAAATCCAGATGTTCTTCATGATCCTCAGGACACACCTTGGATGCTCTTTTTTTTTCTATATCTTGATCAAATGTAGCAGTGGAGGAAGGTCTGGAGCTTCCTGCAGTCCTTTAAGGTGCTTTTAAAGGCTGTGTAGTCCAACCCCCCTGCAGCCAGCATGCACCTCTGGCCATCACAAAGTCCTCAAGCTGGGTTTGATGGAGGAGATTGATGTATCTCAAGTGTATGGACTGGGAATATCTCATTTTCCTTTGTTTCCACTGTTCCTCTGCACCAGGGGGAAGAGGAAGTCCAAGAAACGCCTTGTGAGGTCCTGTACAGAGCCATGTTGTACAATCTCCCCCAGTACATGGTGAGCTCGTGGTTCTTAAAAGCCCAGAAGAGCTTTTGGGTGGGGAATGGTGCCAGTCTGAGAGCTGCAGAGCTCAGGACTGGAAGGGTGAGATTTTGGTGGGAATCCAGAGCAGAGCTGGGTGAAGAGTCCAGCCCAGGAGGAGGGAGTCAGAGGATGGAGGGGTGTAGATACCCAGGGACACAGTCAGATGGTTGGAGACAGGTCAGGGGTGGGACAATAGGATTTGGAACAAGTGACAAAGTCTTCTACATTGGTGGGAGTGAAGTGCTGGGGTTAAACCCCAGCCCTGAATGAGGGGTGGCATGTGGATGATGCCCACAGCCAGGCAAGAGAGACCTTCCTGAGGGGTTTTCACCAAGGCTCTGGCCAACCTTGGGTAGGCACCAATGAGGAGATGACCACCAGGAGCCCCTCCCTTAACATTAACATCAGGTATCCCACCTCCAAGCTAACAGCCTAAAAGCTGGCTTGGCCCCTGGTGGCTTGGGGTGGGTTTATCTAGGTAGTAATTGTTTTATGGAGGATTTTTGGAAGATCTGGAGCTCTGTGGAAGTTTTTGGAAGGGTCCCTCAGCTTCCTCCTGTAGGCAGAGCCCTCAGTGGTGGTGGGACATCAGCCTAGCTGGGAGTAGAGGAAGGAACAGTGGTCTTGTTCTTTGGTTTTGGCCACACAGCTGGAGCTGGAAGTGAGAAAGGGGAAGAGAAAGGGAGTGAGGGAGAGAGATTTGATGGGAGAAGTAAAACAGCTTTAATGAGAACAATAATAATAAAATGGAATATATACAAATCTCTACAAACCCAGCCTGGAACCCAGCTCCCCCCTGAGGGCAATGTGTCCCTGTCACCCCCAGTGCTGGGCAGCAGCCCCTGGGGAAAGGTCCCAGGCTGGACTCAGCAGCAGATGGCAACTGGGGCCAGGAGCTGGATTCTGGAGCTGGGTTCAGGAACAGAAAGGGATCAAAGGCAGAGTGGGCAGAGTCCTCCTCGGATGCTGCCAGTGGAGGGGCAGCAAAAGGGAGGGAGGGGCTCACACGGCTCAACCCCTGTGACCCCGCAGCTTTATATGGAATGTGAGGGCTGTGGGATGGAATAACCCCTGGGGAATTTGGGGTCACTTGTCTGCTGAGTTGGAAGAGCTTTCGCTGAGAATCATAGAATCATTTAGGTTGGAAGGGACCTCCAAGATCATCAAGTCCAACCTCTGGACAGAATGAGTCCTGTTCTACCCCAAACCAGGCCAGGAGGCTCTGGGGGTTATGACCTTCCTCAGGGACAGCCCTCACAGCCTTCCCGTGGCCCCAGGAGGTCCCCAGAGGAGCACGACCTGTGTCCTGAGGTCCAGCTGCCTTGCCAGGTTGGATGGGACTTTGAGGGTGGGAGGTGTCCCTGCCCATGGCAGGGGGGTTGGACTGAGATGATCTTTAAGGTTCTTTCCAATCCAGACCACTCTGGGGTTCTCAGGTGGTACCTGGTCCCGTGCACACTGCCTGGAGGGAGAGACAATGATGGATTTCAGCTCCAGATGTCCCCTGCACGATTTTCTCCATGCTCCTAGATGCTCACAGTGCCTTAAGTTAAGGCTACCAAGAGCTGCTGTGCTTGCAGGGTGTAAAAGGAGAGGTTCAGCTTTGGCACCATCAGAGTGAGCAGAGCTTGGGCTGGTGAAACCCTACAGAGAGGGCTTGAAGCTGTCCAGTGCAGTGCAAGTGCAGGAGAAGGAAGGCTCCTTCCTAGGAGCATCCTCCCATTCTGACATTTCTGGGTCCCTCCACATCCCTTCACTCATTTTCCTCACTTCACCCCCCTCAGAGCAGCTCCTCTCAGTTCCTCCTCCACAGCAGGAGGACCTGTGCAGCCTGATGGTGAGTCTGGAGAACGCTGTGGGGGGATTCCCTCACTCATTCTGCTTTTGTGTCTGCCCTGCAGATCGCTTTGCTGAAGATCCTCCTGGCTGCAGCACCCACCTCCAAAGCCAAGACCGACTCCATCAACATCCTGGCAGATGTGCTGCCTGAGGAGATGCCGTAAGTCCTGCAGGAGGTGGCCACCAACCCTCCCAGCTTGGCCACCATCTGGGGCCACACAGGAGGCTCGAGGTTTGCCAGTAGGTTTGGGGGTCTCTAGGTGTGGGGAATGGCCCTTTGGGTAGGTGCAAGCTGCTGTTGCCACCAGGACAGAGGGTGAAAGCCCAAGGGTGTGGACGTGGGTTTTTCCAGGGTGTAACATTTTGAGCACAGTTGGCATTGGTGGCAGCAGGCAGCAGGAGATGGAGATGGGTGTCCCAGGGGGGGAGTGAAGGTCTCTGTGTCAGTAGAGCCTGCCCAGGTGAATGAGAACCCACCAGCCCCTCAGTCCTCCTTGCTGTCACACCCACTGTGCTGTTCCCAACCCAGCGTCACCGTCCTTCAGAGCATGAAGCTGGGGATTGATGTGAACAGGCACAAGGAGATCATTGTGAAGAGCATCTCGGCTTCGCTGCTGCTGCTCCTCAAGCACTTCAAGCTGAACCACATCTACCAGGTGAGGGTAGAGGAGCTGGTCCTCACCTTGAAGCTGGGATGTCCTGATAGGACACCCTCAAGGACACCTCCAGGAGGAGTTTCCACGAGGAGCTGCAGGTGGCTTTTCTCTAGGAGGAAGGTGATGGGGGTTAGACAAGGGTTAGACAAGACCCTTAGTTCTGTTTCCTCTCCAGTGATCAGAAACAGTGGTGGGTAGGACCTCACAAAGTCAACTAATCTAGTCCTCAGCCCCTGTTCCAGCAGAGCCTGGAGGGCTGGGTCTTAGATGCAGTCTGATTTTTGTCTCATCTGCATGGCACCAGTTGAACTGGACTTGCAGGAGGTTAAAAAACCACCAGGGTCCAACCTGGGCTGTGGCCTGGGGCCAGTTCTCCACCCATTCTGCAGGCCAAACAATTAGTGTTTCCTGGGTTTTATTGTCTTTTAAAGGTTTCAGCAGGGTACAAACCCAGCTGTGCTATGAAACCCCCTGATGTTTATCTGGGGAGAAATAGAAACCCATCTTTTAGGTTGGAGAAGATGAAAGAAAACCCCACATTTTTACAGCCTGACATTTCTGGGTCCCTCCACATCCCTTCACTAATTTTTCCTCCCTTCACCCCCCTCAGAGCAGCTCCTCTAAGTTCCTCCTCCACAGCAGGAGGACCTGTGCAGTCTGATGGTGAGTCTGGAGAACGCAGAGGGGGGGTTCCCCTCACTCATTCTGATTTGGGGTGAGCCATGGTCATCTCTTTCAGTGCTGAACCTGGTCTTGGGAGCACCCCAAAAAAGCACAGCAGGGAATTGAGCTGATGCTTCCAGCAAGCAGTGGAGGGTAATGTGGAGGAAAGTGTGGCTGGCACGGGCCAGAATTGGGGTTTCTTTTCCCCATCTACTATTTGGCCACAGATTTTTTAATCTTACAAAGCTACACTGGTGCAGCTCTTCCTAAACTGCCACATTTGTGTGTGTCCACTCTATGGCAAGAAGTTTTCCAGCTGCTGGGACTCACTGTACATGGTGAACCCTTACACAGCAGACTTCTGCAAGGGGAAGATGCTCTGCAAGGTGTCCAGAGCAAACCATGGAGACTGTTTTGCTCCCAGTTGGGAAGGGGTTTCCATTTCCCAGGTGATCTCCTGGTTCTTCCAGCTAATGTTGACCCCTTTTTTCACTTCTCTCCCTCAGTTTGAGTACGTGTCCCAGCATTTGGTGTTTGCCAACTGCATCCCCCTCATCCTGAAGTTCTTCAACCAAAACATCATGTCTTATATCACTGCCAAAAACAGGTACAGCCACGGCTGGGGAAGAGGGAGGTGATGGAGCAGGGAGGCTTTGGGCAGGAGGAACCCTGGCAGGGGGTGGGACCAGCTGGCTGGTCTCTAGCAGAGCTTTGGGGCAGGATGTTCCCCACTACAGGAACATGCTGGAGGGGAACAAATCCCTCCTGCTTCATGAGGAGGACTGGATGGGGGGTTTCCAGTCTCACTGGGCTACTAAACCACACACAGACCCATCTCCTTGGCTGACAGTAGGTTTGTTTCCCTCTCTACGTGGGCTCCTGGGAAGCACTCCAGTGCCACCAGGCACCTGAGGGCCACAGCTTCCAAAAGCCTGAACAGGGCTTTTTTTTGCAGAATTTTACAGAATTCCCAATTCTGTAGCTATGATTCCTCCTCCCTGACTTCTTCAGGCCTTGCAGTTGTCACCACCTTTTCCTGGGGTTGCCTGGACCACTACACACCAGTGTAAGAGCTGCAGGAGCACAACCAGCAGGACTGGGCAGGATTTCCCCGTTCAGAGGGGAACTCCACAGGGGGTGTTGCTGTTGGAATGATGAAAAGATCCTTTTCTCTCGCTTTTTGCTGCTCTTTTTGTGGCTCTTCAGCTGGGTGTAGGCTCTGTCTGCTGCGTGGTGTGGCTGGATGTGTGTGAGAAGGCACCCAAGGACAAGGAGACTGTAACATATCGATGCTCTTGCTGATGAACATTTCCACTTTGGGTCTTGTGCCTTAAAGACATGTAGCTGTGGAGAAGGAGCTGGGAGTCCTGGTGGACACCAAGCTGCCCATGAGCCAGAGTGTATAGAGCAAGCCACACTTGTCCTACACACTCTCCCACTCTCTCTCTTCCCCCTCACCCCTCCATACTTTTTTTCTTTTATTGGCTGCTTTTCCAAAGTCACCTTTCCAGGGCATCCTCCTTCCCAGAGGCCTGCAGGGCTCTGAAAGAGCCAATGCCCTCGTTGTGAATTCTCTTGCTGGTAATCAGATGTCTCCAGTTTAACCTTAAGTCTGTCTTGGGTTTGGTTTTTTTTTCCTCTTTTTTTAAATATTCATATGAACATCTTCATCTGCCTTAACAGATCCAAACCCTTTCAGTCCTTATTGGTGCACTGAGGTTGCTCTTTGGAGCCAGGAGGGATCAATGTGCTCCACGGGGGGCTGGGAGCTCGTTTGGGTGTTGTCTGCAGAGCTGGAAGTGCAGGAGGGAGGCAGGTCTGTGCCTGGGCTGCTTCCCAGGGCTCACTGGATCTGGGACTGCTCCTCACCCCACGGCAGCACCACCACCGCCCCTCAGAGCCCAGGCACAGGGAAGGAAGAGAGAAACGGCCTCAAGTTGCCCCAGGGGAGGTTGAGGTTGGATTTTGGGAACAATTTCTTGCCCTGGAGGGCTGTGGAGGCCTGTGCCAGGCTGCCCAGGGCAGTGGTGGAGTCCCCACCCCTGGAGGGGTTTCCAAGCCGTGGAGATGTGGGGTGAGGGACACGGGGCAGTGGGGACCTGGCAGGGCTGGGGGATGCTTGAGCTTGAGGACCTTGAAGATCTTTTCCCATCACAGCAATCCTGTGGGTCTGTGACTGCTGGACATGACTTTTTAAGATGCTCTGTGTGTCCCTGGTCCTGAGCAGCTCCCTCCCTCCCTGTGCCCTGCAGCATCTCCTCCCTGGACTACCCGCGCTGCACCGTCTGCGACCTGCCCGAGCTCACTGCAGAGAGCCTGGTAAGCAGCTCAGAGAGGGCCCTGGAGCCAGCCCTGCGCTGTGCCAGAGGGGCAGGAAGGATTTCTCTCTTCTTTTATATTGTTGTCTTTTTCTGTATCCCAAACCTTTCCAAAATTAGACCCTTTTTCCCTCCTCCAGACTTGAGAACCCCCTCCCAGCACCATCCTGGCTGGCTGTCAGCTCAGGGGGAGGCACTGCTGGCCTCCTGCAGCCTACAAACAGAGCTGGGTTTAGAGTTTTCCCTGTTCCTTCTCCAGATGAGAGAACTTGCTTCAAACAGGATTTGCCCAGAGGCTGCTGCCTCCCAGGTTTCACTTGCTCTGAGCAATTCATAAAATCACAGAATCGTTTTGGTTGGAAGAGACCTTTGAGATTGAGTCTGATCATTAACCCAGAGCTGCCAATTTGTAAGATACCAAGAGATGAAGGAATGAGCCAAATTCCCCATGGAGAGGAGCCTGAAGCTTCCTGGAGGGCAGGCAGCGTGGTGGGCTGTGCCAGTGCCTGGGTCTGGAGGAGATGTTAACGCTGCAGGTTCATCCCTGCAGTAATTCAGATGCAGAACAGGCTGAATTCGGACAGGGTGCAGAGCAGGAGTGAGCTCTGGGGTCAACAGGGGAGGGGGAACAGGGGGGAGACCCTGAAGGATGCAGGAATCATTGAGATGGACACTGGCTGGGCACTGGGGAGGCTGCCCCTCCAATCCTGGGGGCAGTTTTGGGCCCCTCCCTCCCAGAAGGCCCTTGAGGGGCTGGAGCGTGGCCAGAGAAGGGCAACGGAGCTGCTGGGGAAGGGGCCAGAGCCCAAGTGCGGGGAGGAGCAGCTGAGGGAGCTGGAGGTGCTGAGCCTGGAGCAAAGGAGGCTCAGGGGAGACCTTCTGGCTCTGCACAGCTCCTGACAGGAGCCTGGAGCCAGGGGGGGGTCGGGCTCTGCTCCCAAGGGACAAGGGACAGGAGAAGAGGAAAGGGCCTCAAGTTGCCCCAGGGGAGGTTGAGGTTGGATTTTGGGAACAATTTCTTGCCCTGGAGGGCTGTGGAGGCCTGTGCCAGGCTGCCCAGGGCAGTGGTGGAGTCCCCACCCCTGGAGGGGTTTCCAAGCCGTGGAGATGTGGGGTGAGGGACACGGGGCAGTGGGGACCTGGCAGTGCTGGGGGATGGTTGGACTCCATGCTCTGAAAGGTCTCTTCCAACCAGAATGTTTCTATGATTCTGTGTTGCCTGGCTGCTGGTATTTTGAGCTCAGGATTTGTTCCTTAGCTGTGTAAAGGTTAAAACCATTACAAGTGAAAGCTCCCCCCAGTCTCTACAGCCAAAGCTGCCCATGAATCCCTCCGAGGTCAGCCAGGACTGGTCCTACTGGCTCTGTAACCACAGTATTTTTGATGTGCCACTGTGATACAGATTGTTCCAGATCAAATTTATATAAAAACCTGCTGTGGAGCGTGTGGGTGCTGTGGGATCATCACACGTGGCCGTTGTGCTGCCTCTGTCCCCCACCCCGGGCCCACCGACCTGTCCCCCAGCACTTCTTGCCTGGTTTTGGGTGCCTGGGTGGGGTGACAGCTCTCAGACATCCCCTGGCTCCTCCCCAGCGGGCTCAGCGCCCTGGGTTGTGCTGGCCCATGGGCTACTTGCCGAAGGCTGGTGACCACCCAGCCCTGCCGGGGTCCCACCCACCGTGTCCTGGCCCGATGGGGACATCTAGCGACACGGTGCTGGCTGCTCCGGCGGCTCTTGCTCGTCCTGAGGCTGCTCGTGGTGGCTGGAGGAGGCTGAGCGGGTTTTGGGAACATTTCCCCAGTTGTCTTTTCTCTGTAGGGTCTGAGCCCCAGTTTGGGAGGTGTTGAATGAACCGTCAGTGCCCCATCGCTTCCCTTCAGGAGCTGTCGGCCTCAGGGAGGGGAGTTTAATTAGAAAAGATGCAGAAAGCAACTTAATTATACCGTGTGTGTGGTTTTGGGAGGGTACCCATGGAAGTGCTGAGGCCAGGCTGAGAGCCCTGGGGCTGCTGAGCTGGAGAAGAGAAGCCTCAGAGGGGATCTGAGCAGTGCTGAGCAAGAGCTAAAGGGCCCCCCCAAGGCAAGAGGCTGGGGCCAGACTCTGCTCAGTGGTGCCCAGCCACAGGCCAAGGGGCAACGGGCACCAACTGGAACCCAGGAGGTGCCACCTGAGCAGGAGGAGAAACTTCTTTGGGGGGAGGGTGGCCGAGGGCTGCCCAGAGAGGCTGTGGCAGTGGTGAGCACCAGGCTGTGATTTGCTCACTAGCTGTGAACGACGAATCCCAACCTGCCCCAGGATCCATTTTCCCCTCACAGGATGATGTGATTTATCCCTCCTGAACAACTAAAACTTGTGCAGACAGTGCCAATAAATCCTCTCTGCACAAGGGTCTCTCGTGGTGGGGCCGTTGGACAGGTCAGGTCACGGGGCTCCTCCTCTGCTTTGCAGGAAGCAGGGGACAACAACCAGTTCTGCTGGAGGAATTTGTTCTCCTGCATCAACTTGCTGAGGATCCTCAACAAGCTGACCAAGTGGAAGCACTCCAGGACGATGGTGAGGGGATGGCCCAGCTCCCTCAGGCCCACGGGGGGCAGCCAGCCTGGCAGCTCCAGCCTGTCCGTGGTGCTGTGCTGAGAACCGGCCAGCTCGGGACATGGGTGGGAGGGGCTGAGGCCTGACTGGGTTGTGACATGTGTGTGTGAGAGGTGCTGGCACCAGTCCAGGTCATCACACGTGTGACAGGGCTGAGGCCTGACCAGGTTGTGACATGTGTGAGGAGCTGCTGAGGCCTGGCCAGCTCATGACATGTATGTGAGGGGCTGAGGCCTGGCCAGCTCATGACATGTATGTGAGGGGCTGAGGCCCAGGCAGATTGTAGCATGTGTGGAGAGCTGAGGCCTGGCAAGCTCATGACATGTATGTGAGGGGCTGAGGCCTGGCCAGCTCATGATGTGTGTAATGGGGCTGAGGCCTGACCAGCTTGTGACATGTATGAAAGGGCTGAGACCTGGCCAAGCTCATGACATGTGTGTGAGGAGCTGAGGCCTGAGCAGCTTGTGATGTGTGTGAGGGGTCTGGGGCCTGACTGGATTGCCAGGTGGCTGAGGCCTGGCCAGCTTGTGACATGTGTGAGAGGGGCTGAATCCCACCCAGCTCATGACATGTGTGAGGAGCTGAGGCCTGAGCAGCTTGTGATGTGTGTGAGAGGTCTGGGGCCTGACTGGATTGCCAGGTGGCTGAGGCCTGGCCAGCTTGTGACATGTGTGAGGGGCTGAGGCCCAGCCAGCTCATGACATGTGTGAGGAGCTGAGGCCCAACCAGACCATGACATGTGTGAAGGGCTGAGGCCTGGGCAGGTTGTGACACGTGTTGTATGGGACTGGGGCTGTGTGAGGGGCTGAGGCCCAGCCAGCTCATGACATGTGTGAGGAGCTGAGGCCCAACCAGACCATGACATGTGTGAAGGGCTGAGGCCTGGGCAGGTCGTGACGTGTGTGTGGGCTGAGGCCTGGGCAGGTTGTGACACCTGTGAAGGGCTGAGGTCCCACCAGGCTGTGACACATATTGAGCTGAGACCCGGGCAGATCATGACATGTGTGTCAGGCACAGAGGCCTGGCCAGGTTGTGACATAAGTGAAGGAGCTGAGACCCAGCTGCACCATGACAGGTGTGAGGGGCTGAGACCTGACCAGATTGTGACACGTGTGTGAGGAGCTGAAGCCTGTCCGGCTCGTGACAGGGGTGAGGGGCTGAGAACTGACCAGCTCATGACATGGGTGAGGGACTGCAGCCCAGAATGTGTCCCAATGTGTGTGATGAGTTGGTTTAGGCCTCAGCCCATAACACATGGCACGAGCTGGTTGGGCCTCAAGCTCCTCACCTGTGTCACGAGCTGGTTTAGCC